TCGTATACTTACACATCTTGGGGAGAACACGGGGGATACGATGTAGTTGGCGACAACTGCCCTTTCTACTTTTTTACTTTTTAATTTTAATTTTTTATATTTAATGTCTTTTATCTTTTGATTTCTTATTGTTTTTTACTGTTTGGGATGGGATGGGATGGGATGGCATGGCATGGCATGAGATGGAATGGATGGATGGATAGATAGATAGTTAGATTTTTTTGGGTATTTTCCTTTCAACAAAGCGGTCACCAACTGAGTAACGCCACTGATTTCCCCGGGCAACGCCGGGTATTCCGCTAGTACATACACAAATATACATAAATACAGGGGTCTATCAATATATCTCCTGATAAATATACACACATACATACATAAATATACACAAACATGTATACATAAATATACACACATACATACATAAATACGCATGCACACACACGACACACACACACACACTCGCACGCACGCACGCATGCACATACACAGAAACACACACACACACACAAACACACACACACACACACACACACACACTTACATAACTAGACAGAGGGCACTCACGGAGAGTGCATACCTCTGCGAGCATGTAACATGTATGTGCTCGCTGGTGGCGGCTGCTGACTCGCCGCTCACTGGTGGCTGCTGCTGACTCGCCACTCGCTGACTCGACACGCTATCGATTGCGCGGTGGCTACACACACACACGCTAGCGATTGCATGACCTTCATTTGCGCGGAGGTAAATATACATACATTATCACACACACATAATCATCTATACATATCGCATATTCATGTGCATTTATTGCATATATTGTCAAACGTCCTGCAAACAAACTTTTGTAACGTGTGTTTTACACATGTTCATTGAATTAGTAATCGTAGATAGATTTAGTTGTACATAGGAGAAGGGTTGGGTGTTTAGCATACAGATGAGAAGTAGTTAGGTTGGGTTCTACACGGATAGGTTACGGACGTTAGGTTGGGCCTTGTTACAGATGTTCACCATATGTAGATTTCCCGCGTAATATTTGAACAAGAGAGAGAGTGGTGTGTGATTGGTTAGGGTAGAGTGGAACTGGGCTGTGATTGGATGCGGGGTGGATATATTAAGGAACGCGAGAGCAGTTGGGTGACTGGAACGAGACAGGACGTGACGTGACGAGCTGACGGTTTGTTTGTAAACAATATATTTCTTTAATAGTGAACACAAATTCTATACGTCTTCTTGATTATTTATACTTTAAATTATAACATTCAACTACGTCCCTACACTTTGCAACGTGAACTGGTTTCGTTTCCTCACCCCTCCCTCGTCATCGCTTGTTTTTTCGGGGCCAAAATTTGCCAAAAAACATGGCCAAAGGGACAGCGCACAGCGGTGCCGGTTGTCAAACGACGGTGGCGCTTGATTTTTTACTTTTTTTTATTTATTTTTTATATTTAATCTTTTATCTTTTGATTTCTTATTATTTTTTACTGTTTGGGATGGGATGGGATGGCATGCGATGGGATGGCATGCGATGAAATGGCATGGGATGTGGTGTGATGGCATGGCATGAGATGGGATGGGATATGGGATGGATAATTTTTTTTGTTATTTTCCTTTCAACCAAGCGGTCACCAACTGAGTAACGCCACTGATTTCCCCGGGTAACGCCGGGTATCCCGCTAGTAATGAATAGGCGAAATTGGAATATTGCCGTTTGTGAGAGTAGACGAAATGTGAGTAGGCCAACTGGGATGTTACCTAAAAGCAGGGTTCTCTCCGACGTGTCCGTGAGCTTATAATATTACAAGCACAGGTCGCTACAATGTCTGACCTGGATCAAAACTGTACGTTATCCATAGATGAAATGTGACTAAAAGCCGACCCCTGCATGCGTTACAGTAAGACGGGAGATAACGTTTCTGGTTTTTGTGACTTTGGTTTCCAGTGCCAGAGGCAGGAAATTCGGCAGCAGGCTTTAGTATTTATGGCTCATGTAATGTTTTCTCGATGGAAGCGGCTATTAGGCTATTTTATACCTAAAACATCTGCCCCGCACAACCAATGTTGCCATACTGAGTTGATAATATTACAGCCAAGAACAACGAAACATGGAATTTTGAAAGTTTATCTTTAGCAGCCTTATCGTGAGTATTTAAATACAGTTTACGCTGAAACCTCTTGAAATTTTTAACTTAGCTCACGGACCTCCAGTACTACCTTTGCGGACCCCAGGGGTCCTTGGACTGCCTACCAAACTCGATTACAACAAATCAAAACAAAACAGAATAAATGTATGCGTTCCATCTTCTTTGCTAAAAAAAGAGAAAGTGCTACCCCATACTACAACCTTCTAGACATTCTAAATCTTGATAATGTTTTTAAACTCAAAATCTCAACTCTTGTACACAAAATCAAGTATGTTAAAACGGATATTCCTGCAGCCTTTATTGATCTAATTCCTTCTGCTTTACAAATACATAATTACAACACTAGGTATGCCTCAAAAGGTAATCTACACAGACTTGCCTCCAGGACTAACTATGGTCTATCTCGATTTAAGTCTCTGGCCTCAAGGATATGGGAAACAATTCCTCTTGAAATTAAAACCTCGCCACACAGTAAATTTAAACATGATTATAAGCTATTCCTTCTAGACAGCCAGTAATAATCAATTAAATTAAATTAGTGCGTGTTATTTAGGACCATTAGTTATATATTATATTATAATTGCTTGCTTGCTCTTGTTGTTACTTATTACTTATTACATCAATTGTAATTTTTGTTCTACTGTTCCATATATATGTATATATGTATATATTTTTTTGTACGTAGACAGCCAGAAATGTTCAATTAAATTAGTGTATGTTATTTAGGACCATTAGAAATTAGTTATATATTATATTATAAATGCTTTCTTGTTCTTGTACTTCTTACCTCAATTGTATTTTTTGTTCTACTGTTCCATATATATGTATATATGTATATATATTTATATTTTTTGTACGTAGACAACCAGAAATGTTCAATTAAATTAGTGTATGTTATTTAGGGCCATTAGAAATTAGTTATATATTATATTATAATTGCTTTCTTGTTCTTGTTACTTATTACATCAATTTTATTTTTTGTTCTAGATACTGTTCCATATATGTATGTATGTATATATTTTGTTTCTCTCTTATTTCCTATATTTAGTTTAATTGTACTTTTCCCTCAGACTTTTTATTACCTATGGTAGTGGTCAACTCGAAAGCTTATTGCTACTTTGACCACTACGCACATTCACCTTAAACCTATCGATTCTATAATATTATTTATCTCTCTCCCTTTTTACTACTATCTGAAATTATCTGTACAAATGAATGAAAAGTGCAAAATAAAATGAATCTGAATCTGAATCTGAATCTGAATCTGGACACTAGGTTGGGAACCACTGTATTAGACCCTAGACGGGACTATAGTCTAGTCCCCGGGGGACTAGACTGATAAATGGCAATTACATTTATTATTTACAATCCGTCTAATTAGTAATTACTGAAATCACCTGGAAATTACTAGAAAATGGTTTGGAATCTTGACGGAAAACACAGTCAAGTTCAACCGAAGTGCAAAAAGCTAGTGCAGTCATGCTGAAATGCGTGCATACTCACGTTTGTCATGGCCAGGTTTAGCTGGGGTTGGATTTAATAGCTATCCATCACTAACTCTTATGTTGCATTCGTACTATTGAGTTGCTACAATAAATTGTTGCTAGTGTGCGTAGTGCTGATAGGGTCTATGCCCCCCAGGGTACTGCCGGAACGTACCCTGGGTACGGTCCGGTATACCGGAACGTACCCTGGTACTAAATACTACTATCTAATATGCCGGACCGTACCTCGCCTACTCCACTAACGAGTCTAGGGAGTCGCCTACGCCTACTCCCTAACCCTAACCATAACCCTAAATTTATCCCTAACTCTAACCCTAACCATATCAGCTAGATAGTTACCAGGGTACGTTCCGGTATACCGGACCGTACCCAGGGTACGTTCCGGCAGTACCCTGGGGGACATAGACCCTCTCAGCGTAAGTAGTGTTGTCATGCGTAAGTCAGCCTGTCCATCAACTATAAGCCTAGATTACCAACAAATATAAGTACCATTCATGTACAGTACAAAAGAAGGCAATTTGAATAGATTGATGTGAACCAAAAACTTAAGGCAATGGGCAGTGGTCATGAGAAGCAACGGGGTAATACAGTTCAGCAGGGTTTTGCAAATTATGGACATAAGTTTAAAGTTTGACTTATGGTCTTCGACACAGCTACGTAGCCGTAGGGTTATGGTCAGGAGACCTATCGTTATTGAAAATATCAAGGTCTATGGTCAAATGATAGTGGCTATAGTTACATTGTACTTATTTTGCCCCAGGTTGGATGACATACTAAGTAGTTTTTTTTAACGCTGACATACCTGTTACGGGAATGTCACAGCCAAGCACAATTGCTCTGCAATGCTATTTTTCTGTTGCTGTACCTAAAATGTCCTCTGATCGAGTTACTCTTACAGCCGAATGCAGGTTCCACTTGGTGAGGCTGTGGTTGGTCGCACTGAAACCAAGGGTAGGCTGTGGTGACGGGTGGACATGGTGAATGTTGGGCTGGGAATTTTATGCCTTCTGTCAGTCTGCAGCATATGGTTTGCTTTTGCTGTGTCGTTCTAGCAAATTCAGTGCCAAGTTACAGTTCTTTCTCTGATCAGACGTATCAATATGTTCTGATTACATAACACAATTAAATCTGAGTTGATGCTAAAACTGATGCATTATTGCAGCATTCTACAAATTTTCGTGCAAATTGTTCACACGGTTTGTGTATCAAAACTTGAGTGCAAAAAACTTGGCTCTGCGAATTTGCGTTAGCTTTGATATTGTTTTAGCATGCTTGCTTTCGTGTTTGTCATGATCTTATATCAGTGTCTACACGTAGATTCATTGATGTCGTGCCACGTGGTTGTATGTTTCAGTCGATTAGGTCTTGACCTTGGTCATGCTGCTGTGTTCCAGAAATCAAACAGAGGTAAGTATGATTCATGGGAACCCTTCTCAAATTCTTGGGTGGCGTGAAACTACTTGAGCTCAGCAATAAAATTGGCAGAGGCAAGATCCAGTGTGTTCATCAATTGTTGCATGAGTGGAAGATACACGGTTAAAAAATTTTATTTGGCTAAAAGCTATCGGGTCTTGGAAAATTAACCTTCAAGTCCTGTTAGTATTGGAGCTAGGTCTTTAAAAAGGGGTTGTTTTAGGTGTATGATTCCAGTGCTGTTACATTCACATTATTTTTACAGTAACTTTTTTAGTTTGCTAAGTGGTCAAAACTTAACATTCAATTGGCAGAGCAAGCATGCATGCTTGGTAAAAATTATTCGGCCTGAATAAACGGAAACAAACGTCTTCTTTTAGGCTTAAAAAAGACGTTTGTTTCTGCTAACAAGCTGAAAAAAATTTGACACACGGTAGGCGGGCAAAACTTTTTTTTCATCAAATATTTTTTATTTCTTTTTGTATGCTAACAATGTTCTTGTTTTATACTTATAGCAGCCCATGTAATGACGTCAAAGTCAAATCAATGCATTCACCAATTAATAGATATCACTTTGAAATTTTTTTTTTTCGATTACATTAAAAAGTTTTGACACGGCGGTTTCAAATAGACTCGGTCGGGTTTACGGAAACAAATGTCTTTTTTAGGCCTCCAGCAGCATTGTTTATCAGGGGCTTAATATATATATTCTAGATGTATAAATTTGTACACTCCTAATTAACCTCACTATTAGCCATCACTAACTGGATACATCAGCTGATGTACATACCTGTAGGGCGATGGGTGATTTTTTAAGAGGTTATAAATAATTTTTAATTGTGGTGTCAAGCATGCATGTATGGAAAGTCATCCCCTTCAAAAATAATTATTAAACATTTCAAATACACACTTTTAAATCAATTTAAAACATTTCAAATTAATTAATAAAAATACAAATTACTTTATATTGTTCGAGAAATTTAAATTCAAAATTTAAAATCAATTCACAGAATAAAAAATCAATTTATTAACTTGCAAATTAATTCACAACTTTCCAAAATAATTGCTTGATATACAAATTCCTTCACATCATTGTAAAAATTCATTTTCTAAACGTACAATTTATTTTCAAAACAACAAACCAATTTACTAACTTGCAATTTAATTGAGAACATGTTACATAAAGTTAAAACTCACAAATGTTTAAATCTTGCTTCATCACCCTACCAATTGAAATTATAAGTTTTAAATTAATTTACAGAATAACGAATCAGTTCACTAAGTTTGAAATTAATTTATTTCTTTTAACATTAATCACCAGAAATGCAAATCTAACTGTTGGTTTCAGAATTATTAGGTAACAAACGACAAATGCATAGCTTAAATTACAAATTAATCATACAGCTTTCAAAACATATATAAATGTTTACAATCAAAGAGCTCATTTAACAATCAATTTATGCAACTTCCAATCTATTCAAGACTTCTGAAATCACTTACTAACGTTTAAAATTTGCCGCCCACTCTGTTGTTTCCGGTCTGTGTGAAAAACTATTCAGGAAACTTCGAATCAATTCATAGGACTTGCAATCTATTCACTACACTTTCTGAACCAGCCAACTACAAACCAAACTCCAAATCAATTCAATCTAAAAGTGCCCGGATGCTTCAGTTCGGATGGATACGCTATAATATTGGAGGATCCGATTTTTCCCACCCTGCGGGAAAGATGTGTTTGTTTACAGCTGTACACTACAGTGTAGTGACAGTGTTACCCAAGGAGCGTTCAGCGTGACGTCACGTCCAGGTCACATGTGTAAACATAGCTCTGCTGGTTGGCAAAAGCGTTCGCCGGCACAGGCACTTGGAAGGTCTCAATAAAAAAAAGAATGGTAAATAAACACGAAATGTATTTACTACCAAAGTCTTAATGTTTCTCTACTATATTTCACCGCTAATTACCCGTAAATGCCGGTCAAATGCTCATCTGCAACACGCAAGTACACCGCACGCACGCCCTGTGCTGCGTGCACAAACAACATGAATATGTTATGTTATTAATGTTGTTTATGCTCTTTTATGCTCTTTTATTGTTATGCTCTCTTATTTATGTTGTTTGTGCACGCAGCACAGGGCGTGCGTGCGGTGTACTTGTGTGTTGCAGATGAGCATTTGACCGGCATTTACGGGTAGTTAGCGGCGAAATAGAGTAGAGAAACATTAAGACTGGTAGTAAATACATTTCGTGTTTATTTACCATTCTTTTTTTTTATTGAGACCTTCCAAGTGCCTGTGCCGGCGAACGCTTTTGCCAACCAGCAGAGCTATGTTTACACATGTGACCTGGACGTGACGTCACGCTGAACGCTCCTTGGGCAACACTGTCACTACACTGTAGTGTACAGCTGTAAACAAACACATCTTTCCCGCAGGGTGGTAAAAATCGGGTCCTCCAATATTATAGCGTATCCATCCGAGCTGAAGCATCCGGGCACTTTTAGAATGAATTGATTTGGAGTTTGGTTCGTAGTTGGCTGGTTCGGAAAGTGTAGTGAATAGATTGCAAGTCCTATGAATTGATTCGAAGTTTCCTGAATAGTCTTGCACACGGACCGGAAACAACAGAATGGGCGGCAAATTGTAAACGTTAGTAAGTGATTTCAGAGGTCTTGAATAGATTGGAAGTGGCATAAATTGATTGTTAAATGAGCTCTTTGATTGTAAACATTTATGTTTTGAAAGCTGTATGATTAATTTGTAATTTAAGCTATACATTTGTTGTTTGTTACCTAATAATTCTGAAACCAACAGTTAGATTTGTATTTCTGGTGATTAATGTTAAAAGTAATAAATTAATTTCAAACTTAGTGAACTGATTCGTTATTCTGTAAATTAATTTAAAACTTATAATTTCAATTGTTAGGGTGATGAAACAAGATTTAAACATTTGTGAGTTTATGTAACATGTTTTCAATTAAATTGCAAGTTAGTAAATTGGTTTGTTGTTTTTAAAATAAATTTTACGTTTAGAAAATAACTTTTTACAATGATGTGAAGGAATTTGTATATCAGGCAATTATTTTGGAAAGTTGTGAATTAATTTGCAAGTTAATAAATTTATTTGTTATTCTGTGAATTGATTTTAAATTTTGAATTTAAATTTCTCGAACAATATAAAGTAATTTGTATTTTTATTAATTAATTTGAAATGTTTTAAATTGATTTAAAAGTGTGTATTTGAAATGTTTAAAAATGATTTTTGAAGGGGATGGCTTTCCATATGCATGTACTCTGTAATCATTTTCATTGAGGCATGCAAAGAGCTGTGTGGTTGCTTTCATAGGCGCAAATCCAGTTTAGTCACCTTATGTATCACGAAGTGTGTTAGGGTTAGGGTTGGGCTTAGGGTTAGGGTTAGGGTTAGGGTTAGGGTTTTTGCATCATTCCTTGATATACGGAAATTCTGTGCATCCGTTGATGATACACAGAAATCTGTGCATCACTTCGTGATACCTAAGGTGCCTAAAGTGGATTTGCACCGCTTTCATATTGGCACCTGTAGTAGTGATTAGGTGATCACAATTGATTTGGTTGGTTGTGCCATTTTTTATTTGTTTGCTATAGAGGGATGTTTCACTGCTTTTCAGTCACATCTGAAAATGTGCTTGCCTTAGTGCGCTACTATGGTGTTCATGCCTATATGTTATAGTTAAACATTTTGTTATTGTCACGTTGTCTTCTAATTTAAAGGTGTGATTCTGTATCTATAAGTAAAAAATCTGATTAATAGATATTTCTAGGGCTGAGATAACTGTTGAGGCCTCCTGTGTAATAATTGAAATTAACTTTAAAAATCAGTCTCGATGTGAAATGCTTCATACTTTTACTGCATACAGTTGCGTATATATATATATATATATATATATATATATTATATATATATATATATATATTTCACGTGCCAGATAAATTATGAAGAAATATGTTATTTTACAGAGACGGTGGTAAACATTGCAGATTCTGTCAGAGGAAAAGATGTCTTCCTAATTCAGACAGCCACAAAGTAAATGATTTGAGGGTTGTAGCTAGATATAATTTTTGCTAGTGAATATGTGTAACTCGGTATTAGCTGAACTGGCCTTGCTTTTAAAAGAAACTCTGTGTAATAAAGTTAGTCAATGTTGTAGAGTGCAAGTTTTATACTGTCTGTCTTTACATTGATCTAAAGTTTGTAACCAAGTTAGGCAAGGTGGCAGCTACGTCAGATATTCGGAACCATATTTCAGGGATGTAAATAATGACATCATGGAGCTGCTTGTGATGGCATATGCTTGCAAGACCTCCAGTGCTCGCAAGGTCATCGGTGTCATACCTTACCTACCCTACTGCAAGCAGAGCAAGATGCGCAAACGTGGTGCCATTGTGTCAAAACTCCTTGCCAAAATGATGTGCAAAGCAGGTAGGTGAGCTAATTGTTTATCAGATGATCAGAGATATTACAGCAGATGAGTGACATAAGCCAGTAAGCCTTTCTTATTTAAGCCGGGGGAGTCTATATGCCGTGATACAAAAATTTCAAGTGTGTTTAATAAAATGCACATTATAACCAAGTAACCCATTTGAAATAACATTAGGACTGCAAAGTGTGATTTGGAGTTATAATTTTAACTCGTGTGATTCTCATTTTTACGGTAAAACTTATTAAATGTATAATCCTGCATCAGTTGGTTACATTGAACTGACGCTTGTTAAAATATTGTTATGATTCTTGACATGAATCACGTCCCACAGATTTCGTCAGGTACGCCTTTTCCTTTTTGTAAACCATAGATAAACACGGGCTGTCACTTGTACATTTTTTCGCACTGAGTTGACCATGTTTGTTCCCAGGTATAACACACTTGATTACAATGGATCTACCACAGAAAGAGATCCAAGGTTTTTTTGATGTTCCTGTTGATAATCTCAGAGCTTCTTCATTTCTTCTGAACTACATTCGGACCTCAGTACGTTGTTGCTCGGCTGCTTCATGCTTAATATTACATGTGCACACTCAGACATGCACACACGCATGCGCACACAAAAACACACACACACACACACACACACACACACACACACACACACACACACACACACACACACACACACACACACAAACACACACACGCATGCACACACAAAAACACGCACAGGCCCACGTGCATGCACATACAAAAACATGCACGCACAGGCACACACATGCACGCGCACATATGCAAACAATGAACACATGCACATGTACATGCACATTTTATGTAGATGTGTGTCCGAAAATTAATTGTGGATACAGTTAATGCACGTGATTAACTTTTCTGTATGAGATTGTAACATACACGTGGATATATCAACTAGTCTAACTGTTTCTTACGTGCTTGGGCACTAGGCACAAGTGGAATTAATTTACTCTGGGAGACAGCTATTCATAGGGTTTCGTACTAACGTTCTGCAGATTCCCGACTACACAAATGCAGTCATTGTGGCCAGAAATCCTGGCTCAGCTAAACGCGCGCAGTCATTCGCGGAACGACTGAGACTGGGATTAGCTGTGATCCATGGTGAGCAGAAAGAAGCCGAATCTGATGAAGTAGATGGGCGTCACTCCCCACCACCGATCCTGAGTCGCACGTATAACCCTGACCTTGGGTTTGAAGTTGTACCAGGTACCTTTAAATTTTTGGTGATTCTATAAATGTTGCATGTTTTGTTGTAATTCTAGGTTCATCAGCTTTATTTCAAATAAATAAGATGGTGAAGTCTGATATAACCAGGGTCTCCAACCGTTCCTCATTCTGCGGAATCATTACGATTTCTAGGCTTAATTTCCGCATTGTGCAGCGGCAAGGTTATATTCCTCATTTCAGTTGCATTGTACAAAATTTGCACTGATTGTTCGCATTGTTCGCTTGGACACATTGTTTTTTTTCAGGCATGTCTACGGTAAATGGAACAGCCTAGTCAGACAGGCGCTGTCTGCAAGGTGTCGCGTAGTTTGTCTGCTAATCAGACAAGGGTTGTAGGGTTGAGATAGTGTTATCAGACATGAGAATATGGCCCACAGTATGCCCCAGATTGCAGGAAAATGGCTTAAATATTTCAAAATTTTCTGGGGGAGCATGCCCCTAGACCCCCCTCTACCACTGTCAGGCTTACGGCACGCGGGCCCGCCTGAGGCAGACAAGGTTCATTTCGCCCCCCCCGTCCATCAATTTCTGAATACACTCACAAGTTACTGATCACCGCGGGAACATTCCGCATTTAGAGTTCACAGGGTTGGAGACCCTGTATAACGTGTAGTCTCGTTTTAATTCACGTAAGCAAGCAACAAGTCTCGCATGGTGCGAGAACATGTGAGATGTACACAAACAATAGACAAGTAACCCAGTCCTGACATTTATACTTTTTTTGCTACGTTTTTCAACACTCCTTCTCAAAATTCTAAATGGGAAAATATTAACTGAAGAAAGTCAGTCCATTGAAATTACGAAATAACACCCGTGATTTTTCTCAATCTCTTGAATTTAAAGTCAGTTCATAGAAATTACTCCAATCATGTTTCTAAGTCTCTTGAATTGAGCTTGAGCAAGTCCCTTGGTTAGGATGTCAGCTACCATGTCCTCACTCCTGCAGTACTGAAGCACAACAGCTCCATTCTCCACCTGCTCCCAGATGAAATGATATTTAATGGCGACGTGTTTTGCTCGACCATGAAACTGAGGGTTTTTAGCTCATCTGACATAGTCAGATGCAGCTTGTAGAATCGCATTCAGCGGTGACCTAGCATTTTTATGGCTTTATTGAAAGGACCATGAAATGTACTTTCTGCTGACATGCGAAGAGTAAGTGTCGGATAACCTTTTGACCCTCGAGAGGAGGGTTAAAATGGATTTGTTGACTGTATACACAAAGACTGAACTGCTTTTTCTGCTTGTGGGATGTCGAGGCACAGATTTTTTTTTTTTTATTTTTTTTTTTTTTCTTTTTTTCTTTTTTTTTTTTTTTTTTTTTTTTTTTTTTTTTTTTTTTTTTTTTATTTTCTTTTTTTTTTTTTTTTTTTTTTTTTTTCTTTTTTTTTTTATTTATGGGGCACAGTTCAACTTGCAAAGGCAAATGTTTGTTGAAGACAATGGTTACGCTCCTTAAATATATATTTTCTAAAGCAGTCTGTATTAGGCAGCCCATGTATTAGCACACTGTAATGATAACCCTAGAATGCCGCGTGTGTACCAAAAACATGGGGGCAGCACCATTACGCATGTGAACTGGCACTATTCTAATCATAATTATTGCCTGGCAACCTGCAATGGCAGATGTGTTAACTCACAGCTGAGCGAAATTCTCGCCTGCCTGAATATACCTTGATTTCAGCACTATCAATGGAAGTGGAGGATATCACGCACGAAGGGTGATGCCATCTTTGATTTAATCTGACTGACTACTTGACACCGACATGCTCGACGGCAAACTGCTTTTGCTTATTAGAGCCGCACCTCCAGAGAAACCATCCGCCCCCTCCCCCACTCTCCCCCCACCACCACCACTACGCTCGCGCTCGACGCATATCCATGATAACATGTTAATATAGAGAAGTCATTAAAGTTACACAGTTGTATCTTTATTACTGTACTACCGGTATAGCAAAGCCTAGCTATCATAGATTTTAGATCTGTATTAGTAGTATCCTAGATATATGCTCTGAGCGCGAACACGGTGATGGGAGGGTGCTCTTCATTCGTTTGCCAGTGAGTTTAGCATCAGAACACCTGCCGTCAGGTGAGCGCTGTCGCTCTGCGGCACTTGTTGGTCATACATATAGCAGACTGGTTATCTTCAAATATAACCATAGCACTTGCCGTATCATTTCTTAGGTCGTAGGTAAGGCGTTTCAGCCAGATAGCCTCTTGTGCAGCACTAGCTAAGGCCGTATATTCTGCCTCAGTCGTAGACAGTGCCACACAGCTCTGATTTTTACTCCTCCAACTGATGGCAGCACCACACACTTGAAACACATAACCAGATGTAGATTTCCTGTCATCTACATCTCCTGCCCAGTCTGAGTCGGAATACCCCACACATTCACTTGAAGTGTTCTTCTCAAACTTTAACCCGTAATTGATGGTACCTTTCGGATATCTCGTGATTCTTTTCACGGCTGACCAATGCTCTTTAGTTGGTGCAGCACAACATTTTGCCACATTGCTAACTGCAAATGTTATGTCTGGTCTTGTCCAGAGTGACAGATACAGCAAACTGCCAACAGCAGACTGGTACAGTTTCTGGTCAACTGTCTCATCATCCTTCTCTGCTTTGACCAGTTTGCTGTTTGTATCAACGGGAGTTGACACAAGTTTTGCATCATTCATGTTGAATCGCTCTAACACATTCTTGGTGTAACCTGGTTGACCCATCCAGATAGACTCAGGACTTGTCTCTCAGTCAACTGTCACACCCAAGAAAAAACTAAGATTACCCATATCTTTCACAGTGAACTTATCAGATATGGCCTTCTTTACTTCCTTCAACCGATGCTGGCTTTTCACTGCAACCAGGATGTCGTCGACGTACACAGCCAATATAACCAGCTCTCCTTCTGAAGTGTAGATACACGGATCATTTGTTGACTGCTTAAAGCAGTTGACTAATCTCAAGCAGATGCTCATGAAAGGCTGCATTCCAGCATCGTGGCGACTGCTTTAAACCGTATATGCTCTTCTTGAGCTTGCAGACGAGATCCTCCTTGCCCTTCTCAACGAACCCCTCTGGCTGCTTCATATACACCTCTTCTTTCAAGGTGCCATTCAGGAAAGCTGTCGTAACGTCCATCTCATGAAGAAAGAGGTTGTTCTTTGCTGACAGGGCTATCACCGTCCTTACAGACTCTGACCGGACGACTGGACTAAAGGTTTCGTTATAGTCCAGTCCTTGCTGTTGTGAGTAGCCCTGCGCCACCAGTCTTGCTTTGAACCTCTCAGTCGATCCATCGGCTCCCAGCTTTTCTTTGAACACCCACTTGCTGCCGACGATTTTCTGGTCCTGGGGAGGTGGGACCAGCTCCCACACTTCGTTATGAGAAAGAGATCCCATCTCCTTCTCCATGGCTGTCATCCACTTTCTGCTGTCAGAACTGTTTAGCGCTTGCTTGAAGTTAGCCGGTTCGGAGGCAGCAACTGACACCCACTCTCCAAGAAGGTCTGGAGCTCTTCTTACTCTATCTGACCGCCTCACATCATGATTTGCAGCATTCGCTGGGTCACGCAGACCACCGTCACCAGGTGCATCATCATCATCATCACCATCAGAGGAGACGTCCACTGATGGTTGGTTGGGCGTCACATTCGTTTCAGCCTAGATGCTCGGATCAGACTTGAGATCACTCTCGTTGAAGATTACATCTCGGCTGTAGAACATCCTCCGCTTGGCCGGATCGTACAGCCGATATCCCTTCACCTCCTCGCCATAGCCCATCAATCGACACTTCTTGCCCTTGATATCCAGCTTCAGGCGCTCATCTTTAGGGATGTGGGCATACGTAGCACAGCCGAAGACCCTCAAGTTGCTGACATCGGGCTTTTCTCCATGCACAACTTCAAAAGGTGTCAATCCATCAAGGGCTCTGGTCGGACTTCTGTTGGTCAGATATACAGCAGTTGACAATGCCTCTGCCCAAAATTGTTTCTCAAGGCTCGCATTAGTCAACATGGTTCTGATCTTCTCAACGAGAGTCTTATTCATACGCTCTGCAACACCATTTTGCTCGGGAGTCTTCGGTACGGTCAGCTCGTGCCTGATGCCATGCTTCCTTAGGTGATCCTCAAACACCTCTGAAGTAAACTCTCCACCGTTATCAGTTCTCAAGGCCTTTAACTTCTCACCAGTGGAGCTCTCAACCACAGCCTTCCACTCAAGGAAACGAGAAAACACATCCTCCTTCCTCTTAAGGAAATTCACCCATGTGTATCTGGAGAAATCATCAATAAAAGTGAGGAAATAGTGAGCACCACTCAGTGACTTTGTGCTCAGTTTACCACAGACATTACTATGAACAAGTCCAAGTACTCGTGTAGCCCGCCTCTCACTTGCCTTTGGAAATTTAGCCCGATGAATTTTCCCTTGAGTGCAAGCTTTGCAGAAACCAATATCACCGGATTTCATACACTTAAGTCCCTTCACCATGTCCTTAGACTGCAAGTCATTCAAACTTTGGGAACTGAGGTGACCATAGCGCTGGTGCCACAGCCCCTTGTCTGTTGATGTGGACGCCTTGTTTACACATTGCTCCTCTACAACTGGCAGGGTAAACAGACTTCCATCCAGTTTGGCTGTAGCAATTACCCTCCCATTGCTGGTAGACACCCTGCAGTCACTCCCGTCAAATATCATTGACACACCAGACTTCATCGCCTTTGGCACGCTGACTAAGTTGAATGCCAGCCCAGGCACGTACAGTACGTCATACAACTTGATAGCCTGTGTATCATCGTCCCGCTTCACAGACAGGCTGACTGTGCCACTACCCTCAGCCTTAACACAGTGTCCATCACCTAAGATCACTTTGTGTCCATCTCTCATAGGCACCATGTTGTCGAACGCAGCACTGTTGTTACACATATGGCATGTAGCCCCAGAGTCAATGAGCCATTTACAGTCTCTTCTTGACATGCTAGTAAGTGCATGGCACGCCACAAAACTTACATGCTCATCCGAATATTCTCTGGTTTTTACATTATTGGCCTTGTGCTTAGGCTTCTGCTTATTTAACACAGGACAGTCTCTTTTTAAGTGCCCTATCTGTTGACACCCATAGCACTTGGGCCCTTTCCTCTGTGAATTTTGCTGCCTTTTTTTTCGACATGAAAACAGTATCCTGAGGTAGTCGATCCTTCTGCTTCCTCTCCTCATTTAGTAGTCGCTCAGTCACCAGATCCATCTTTGGGACCTCAGGGCTTGCCTCGAGTGCTGTCACGAGCATGCTGAATGATTCTGGGAGACTCGCCAGCAGATACACAACCCTATCCTCCATATCAAGCCCCAATGATGGCCAGCTCGTTGAATATTTCCATCATAGACTTAATATGTTCCGTAACTGGCTCTCCATCCTAAAGACGCAATGAGAACAATCTTCTCCTCAGCACCAGCTTGTTTGCCCACGTCTTCTGAAATTGATCCCTCAATTTTTCCCAGACTACAGAGGGATCTGTGGGCTCACCTATCAAGTAAAGCAGTGATGGGTCTACCGCTAACACAATGATAGCCAAGGCTTTGTTGGCCCTACACACAAACTTCGTACACCGGTCCGCATCTGCCACTGGATCAGACTTTGCCTCAACATGACACACAATGTCCCACAAATTGTCTTTCATCAAGGCCATTTGACATTGCACCTTCCATGTCGCGTAGTTCGATCCCTTCAGAGCACTGATTCCATTCAAAATCGTTCCGGCCGCCATTTTCCTTTGTTTACTTTTTCTTTGCTTTTGTATTCACAACTACCCAAATACAAAACTGCCGATATCAATGTCCAGTTACGCCGCCCGCCGTTGAAACTAACACCAACCTGCATAGAAACAATCCTGCAAGCGATCTGGGCCCATAACCTGTTGTAATTCTAGGTTCATCAGCTTTATTTCAAATAAATAAGATGGCGAAGTCTGATATAACGTGTAGTCTCGTTTTAGTTCACGTAAGCAAGCATGGTGCGAGAACACGCGAGATGTACACAAACAATAGACAAGTAACCCAGTCTTGACATTTATACTTTTTTTCTACGTTTTCCAACAGTTTTATTTATTGTATAGGTAATGTATCTGAAGCAATGTATCACCTATTAACCTATTTTAACCATATCTTAGTTATATTGTGGAATTAATTCATTGGTAGTGGTTTGACCGTTAATGTATTTATACTTTATCAGTTTAACGTCTTTTTGAATCACACTGCACACATTTTTTATAGTTATGGCAGCCAAGGAAAAGCCTCCAATGAACGTTGTGGGAGATGTTGGTGGTAGGATCGCTATCATTGTGGTAATTCAGTGTTGTTATTGTTTTCATGGCAGATGTCTGTAAACATAATTAGTTATTAAAGTAATTATTACGAGAGTTTTCCAGTGTCTTCACGGCTTTCATGATACCTACCGTTATTGCTTGAATAACAGCAATTGTCTAGAGTAACTATAAAATGACTTAGAACCTTTGTATTCACCCAAACATGCAATTTTCTGTAATCTTGAAACTAGAGCCGCTAGTCTTGGACTAGCTAGTAGCGCCGCCGCCTATCTGCCATAGACATAGTACAGTCTCTCTCAAATGCAGTTGTTTTCAATTTATCACCGACAATTTACAAGTTTACCAATTCTGCCATTATCGCGACATGATATAATGCATTGCTGTTACGATATGTTCATATCCAATTTTCTATGCTATAACTGAATAAAATTTTAGTGTTTTTAATGCTTGTGTAATCAGTGATATATCCGCTGTGAGGTGAGACTATATTTCGCTATATTTTTTTGGGTTGATGGTTTCTGAGCAAAACTCATAATAATGGCTTTAATTGCAAGGTTAGTGTAATATGGTTCAATAGTCCCTATTCATAGAATAAGTGTAAAGTTCCTAGAGAAAAATTCTAAATGACATGTGTAGTATGTACCCAATGATAAAATATTAATCTATTTGAAAAAGATTTGGTGATATACTGTTATAATTGGTTATGTCAGGCAATAACTACGCCGGTATTGTTAACAAAGAGTTGACAGTTATTTTAACTTATTTTCGGAAGTACTTATGGCTTAAACACATTCTCTCAAGTTAAGACAGGGCTTGTTGTAACAGGATGACATCATAGACGATGTGGAGACATTTGTTGCGGCTGCTGAGTTGCTTAAAGAACGAGGTGCCTACAAGATCTATATTATGGCCACGCATGGCCTTCTAAGTGCAGATGCACCACGATTGCTGGAACAAGCTCCTGTTGATGAGGTACACTTAACAAATGTTCAATGATTGCACTCTGCATATTTTAATATGGATGTCCTGCTACTGTTTCTCACGTGACAGATCGGTGACACATTCATGGCAAACAGAACTGTGATGTGTTTTCTGCCCAACTAATATCAGGTTGTAACGTTGTTTTAGATTGTTGTTACCAACACCATCCCCCATGAGGTGCAGAAGATGCAGTGTCCAAAGATCAAAACTGTCGATATCAGCCTGATGCTTTCTGAAGCCATTCGGCGGATCTACAACAATGAGTCGATGTCGTACCTGTTCCGTGATGTGTCTATGGAAGATTGAAATGTTGGAACACGTCTATCCGAAAGGCTTAGCTTTCTTGAACCCTCATATCATGGTAACGAACTGTATGAAGTACAAATATATTTCAGTCTTGGTACTTCATTGAGTTTAACGTAAGCAAACTTTCACTGCTTCAATAGCTACTCTAGTGAGGCTACATGCAGTAGATTTGATGCTGAATACTGATAGTACCAGTAGCCTGTCTGCATATCATTGCAGTGGGTATGAAAAGCTGGGGCTTCACCAGCTGTGGATGGTTGAAGGTGGTGAAGTGGTGATGTTTGCACTAGCAATGTAATTTTGTAATGTGAAAATCTGTGTAGGGTTGAAGATACTAAAATGCAGTTTCTTAGAGGGCGAGGCATTGTGACATGTGTGCGAGTGGAATTGTAGATACACATAGTGTAATAACATCAAATGGCATGTGAACAAAAACCTCTAGATTTAACTAGTAATTAATTTCTGAAATAATCTTAACATTGTTGTTAATCAAATGTTTTGGATGGCAGTCGGTTTGTTGTCGACCATATGATCATTGCAGTCGATTAAATGTTAGTCGTTGGCAACATTCTAGATCTGAAGTGACCCAGTTTTGTGTGCACTTTACAGATTCACTTATTGGTAACTAATAATGTGATCAAGGTTCTCCATTTCTTTTCAATTCAGCTTGATTGTTAGAAAAATTAAGCATGTGTTTTTTATACACATTCCAGCATGATTGATACGGATACAAATGGATATCGTAGTTGGTAACCTAGTGCTAGGTGACGATCACTGGTGAGCCTGGATTAAGTTGATAGTCGTTAGTGGATGTGGTTTCATGTAAGATGATGTCTTTAAATTACACATGCAAATTGATGCTATGCAATGTGTTGGTATTTATTATACCCAAACAAGCCGTGTATACAGTCTGTTGCTCTAAGAACGTAGTTTGGGCTTGTGATTTTTTTTCATTAAATAAATTTTGCAAACCTGGTGTGAATGCAAGGAATTTCATTGTTGTATTGAACCTTTCAATGTAGTATTTGTATTTTTAGCTCAACTGACGAAGTCGGATGCAGCTTGTAGAATCGCATGATTGTCCGTCCGTCCATCCGCCAACAGTCAGACAGTTGGGCACAAATCTTAACCGCTCGACGTACGGTCGTGCAGAGATGCCAACCACTACGATTTATCCGTATTTTATACGAATTTCTGTTCCTTTTGCACCACTACGACCAGTTTGTATCAAACTACGAATTTCACTGTGATCGAAAAAAAAAAATTGTCATTTTTTGTCAATTTATTGTCATTATTGACCCTCAGAATGCAGGAAATTGCATCTCAGAATTAAAAATTTTTCCGGGGAGGCATGCCGGACCCCCCTAGCAAACTCGGGTCACTATGTGACCCTCGAACTACTAATTTGATGGCCAGAAATTACAGATTGCTTCAAATATGTGTTGGCATCTCTGGTCGGGGGGGGGGGGATTGCGAAAAGGACTCGGAATGTCGAATTTGGGGGGTCAAGGGTCAAAGGTCAAGATGTGTCAATGGAGGGGGAATATTTCCCCCTTAACTTAAACTATTGCGAGAGTTTTCCAGTGTTTCCCCCACTTTCATGATACCTAGTTATTGCTTGAGTAACAGCAATTGTCTAGAGTAACGATAAAATGTCTTAGAATCTTCGTATTCACCAAATCGCGTGCACGATTACAATTTTGCGTTCTGTTTATGTTTACCATTGCCATCTCTCCGACTTTCTCGCGGTAGCGCGAGACATCTATCACGGTGCAGTAATGCATACAGTCGCACCGCAGAAATCAGGTCAGAGTGTAAACACATCACCAGTGCGAAATTGAGGTCACAGGTCAAAGGGCAGTGGAGGAAAGGTCAGATATCCGACATTTTCTAACCGAGGACCTGGTCTAAGGGACCGAGTGCAAAACGATTTTGTTTCAGCGCTGACCTACCTTCTATCACTTTATTGAAAGGACCATGAAATGTACTTTCCGCTGACGTGCGAAGAGTAAGTGTCTGATAACTTTTTGACCCTCAAGAGGAGGGTTAAACATGGATTTGTAGACTTTTAACAAAGGACTGAACTGCTTTTGCTGCTTTGTGGATGTGAGGCTACAGTTGCACAGTTCAATTGCAAAGGCAAATATTTGTTGAACAAGGTTTACGCTCCTTAAATCATATTATTTTCTAAAGCAGTCTGTAATACTATTAGCACCCTGAGTAGCACCCTGAATGCTCGCTTGGGTAGGCAAAAACACGGGCCAGCCCATTACGCATGCATAGGGGTGAACTGGCACTATTCTAATCCTAATTATTGCCTGGCAACCTGCAATGCAGATGTGTTAACTCACAGCTGAGCGAAATTCTCGCCTGCCTGAATATACTTGGATTTTAGCCGGTAGGATTTCACGAAGGGCGATGCCATCTTTGATTATTGATGACACTTGCACGCGCCATCTCGCGGCAACTGCTTTTGCTATTAGAGCCCCCTCCACCCACCCTCCCCCCACCACCACCACTACGCTCACGCTTGATGCATATCCCCCGCATATAGCGAAGTCATTAAAGTTACACAGCTGTATCTTTATTACTGTACTACCGGTATAGCAAAGCCTAGCTATCATAGATTTTAGATCTGTATTAGTAGTATCCTAGATATATGCTCTGAGCGCGAACGCGTTGGCGGGAGGGCGCACTTGATTCGGTTGCCAGTGAGTTTATCTGAAGAATACCCGGCTACAGTACACGTCAGTTGAGCGCTGTCGCTCTGCGGCACTTGTTTTTCAAATGTATAGCAATTTTTTTTATTCCAACAGACGAAAGGACAAAACATCAGTGTTTAACGGAAATGACCGCATGTGTGTTGCTTCAGCACCCTTTCGCCCTCGAGTAGTGTCTGCATTATTATTTTCAATATTCATACATATAATGAAGGCTGTCAGCTTTTTACAACTATAGTAATAAACACGGAAGTTAAAAAATGCATTTCCAACTTTTATTCCTAGACCAGCTCTGCATGACCAACGCACTTTGGTGGCGATGAAATAACAGAAGCTGTGCTGCGCACGTTTCATCACTGCAGTTTGCATGCGTAATGCGCACTGTAAAAGTGGACACATCCATTTTCGGTGCCGACGAGTAGGGTGCTCTTACAGACGGCAATGCTCGTTATAGAGTCCTGCAGCTGCACACGCGCCAAGCACTGGCCACTGAGTATGTTGTAGACAAGCAGCAGACTTCGCCATGCTGCATACAGGTGGTGACCGAGCACGCAGGCCACCGTTCTGCCGGCGATATTCGTGACCTCGTGGTCGTAGGTCACCAGCAGAGTTGTCAACTTGTCTCCAACTGCCAGCAACCCAAACCTTCCATCCGCTAACGAAGTTAGCAAGAACACAAAGCCCTGGAATGAACGAAAGATTTCCCGTTTATATTAGAATGAACTTGTAACTAACATGAATGTTATGAGTTAAACACATTGTACTGCTTTTATGTATCAGGTTTTGTCCTTTTAAATTTTCCACTTAAGTTAACTTAAGACAAAAAGTGAGTCTGAAATTTTCAAATAAACTGAAAGATAAGTCAATGCTTATAATCATTTTACCATTTCCTCCTTTGCAAAAAGCAATGGTGGTGATAGATTGTGTTGGTTCATTGAAAATTCCTTTACCATGGCTCCACTTGTTGTATTCCTGCAATCGAATGCAATACGTAAAGCAGGGGATTCTACCGTCCCTGTGAAAGCTAACCCAGTTTAACCACACGATTGTACTGCTAATCCATTCCTCTTTTTTCAAGTGTCTTGTAAACAGTATTTATTTTAACATCACGACTTTTTAACAATTTGTCATCAAATGGCTTTTAGTTTGGGCAACTATCTCATTTTTCTCTAAATATTTTTGCAACTTACCATAAATAAACACTTTTCCCTAGTAGGCCAAGTATTCCACCATCAAGCTGTTTTATCTTGCATAAAGTTGTCAGTGAGCCCACCACTTGTGTTAGCTCTCTTTTTTCACAAGACAAATCTCTACAAAATTACATGCAATACTGTACAAGGACATACAATTACTTATTAGGTAGTTAAACAGGCACGTGCAGATCACTCATTCACACATGCACCAATACTTATATGTAGTGATTGGTATATTATTTATGGAGATCGACTTACTGCTGGGCAGAATGAAAGCTATTGGATACTATTGAGAGACAATTGCTATTTCATTCTGTTTATCACAGTAATTTAAGAGCCAGCAGAAAATACAACATACAGCAATTTAGGCTAATGAGAAATTGTGTAAAAAATAATGGGGTTGTTACCTCGAATTAAAACTGTATACTAAAAGTATAGTCTTGTCACTGCAGAATGCCACTACAAAATCTCTGCTGTCCATGACACACGAAATACTGTGGTGGCTAAAAATCCAGAAATTTAAGAGATCTTTACAAAGAGTTATTTTTCATTAACAGAATTCTTATTCAAATACATAATCAATTGGGTAAAGTAAAAATTTACATGATTTACAAAATGCATTAAATGTTAAAATATAATCAGTTGGCTAGTTCACATTCACATAAGGTTCTATTCAGGCCCAAACACAATTATTATAATTACTGAGTAAATTATTGGTAATGTGTAAAGTACTAATTGGTATGAGTTCTAATTTATTCTTATTTGTCCTACCACTCACGCCTACCTGTCCTGCTGGGTGGCAGCACTGTTCTTCAGCACGGCAGCCTCACTGAAGAATCCTGGCTCAGTACATACTAGCAACTTCACCACAGTTCCCTGTTCGCAGTCAGTGTGAGCAATGATGACTGGCGTTGAACACGTGGGTAACAGACGACACTCCTGTATCACTTCACCCTAAAAGAACGGAGCAATGTCGCACATCAGTATCTTACCATACTAGTACCCCATGAACATTACTGAAGTTCGGGTTACTCAAACTTGCCTGTACAGAACCAATAAATCGTAGTCTTTAAACTCCAGATTCAAAATTGTGCTTGTCATACTTCTCATTGCCGAAAATCTTCCTGTAGGAAAGCACTTACACTTATACAAGAGCCGCAGAGCGTCTGGGCTCATCTGAGGTCTGTTGCTACGATTATAAACGTAAAATTTCAGTCGTGCGTAGTACCACATTTGTTAGGCGCAGATATGCAGACACGCAGTTGCGTACACATCATTGTTAGGACACGCCCACTATCGCAGATGGAGGGTGGGGGGAGGGGTGGGGGAGGGGGAAGGGGGAGGGTGGGGGAGGGGGCTCTAATAGCAAAAGCAGTTCACTCCTTTGTTAACAGTCAACAAATCCATGTTTAACCCTCCTCTTGAGGGTCAAAACGTTATCCGACACTTACTCTTCGCATGTCAGCAGAAGGGACATTTCATGGTCCTTTCAATAAAGCCATAAAAATGCTAGGTCACCGCTGAAACAAAAAAGTTTTTCAATCGCTCCGTCAGACCATGTCCTCAGAAAATGTCTAAAATCTGCCCTGTGCCCATTGACCTTTGACCTGTGACCTCCAATTTCGGCACAGTGATGGCTTTTCCTACCATGATGCTATACACCGACTATCACGAGCATAGGTCGAGCCGTTTAGATTTGTGCCGCAATTCTGCATTTCCTCCCTATACCTTAAGTTAAGGAGTGAATGTTCCCCCTTCTTTTACACCTCTTGACCTTTGACCTTTGACCCCCAGCTTCGACATCCCAACTCGTTTTGACGATCCCCCCCAACGACCCGAATATCGTGACCGTACGTCGAGCGGTTAAGATTTGTGCCCAACTGTTGACGGACGGACGGACGGACGGACGACCGGACGGACGGACGGACGACCGGACGGACGACCGGACGGACGGACGGACGACCGGACGGACGGACGATCATGCGATTCTACAAGCTGCATCTGACTATGTCAGATGAGCTAATAATGGAAGCCAATAGGAAAACAGGGCTCATGTTATGGAATTTTGCACTATGAACATTTTTTTAGAAGGCATTACTTTGGTAACTTTGGGAAATCTGCATCAAGCCCATCAGATTCCATTGTTTCTAGTACTGAACATTTAGGATAGAGATACTGAAAACATAAGAATATCACAAACTGATCAACATTTCAAACCTCATTGCTCTGCCAGCGAGCAAACTCTTGCATCTTTTCAACTTTGCCAACCCAGGCTGTTAGTGAATTCTGTGTATACGCCACTGCAACTATTGCAGCCCCATTAGCAGATCTGTCCAGCTGTGTTATGCAAACGCCAATCACTGTCTGGTCTTTTTCTTCTGCCTGAAACATTTGTCACGTGAAATTATTATCAGCAATGTTATGCAGTCCTTGCAAAACTATCTAGGTATTTTCCTTATAATCAGTTGTAACGTGAACCCCACTATAGCTAAAATTTTGTTTTCGCTCATTCGACACAGATGAAAGAGTAGTTAGAGTACACTATCATTTTTCCTGCAGTGGTTTACCAGTTCTGTATACATTCTTACCTTTAAGCACTCGGTGAGCCTCCAGCATGTACACGCGCAATCGTCCACCTCCTTCCCATTAGCAGCAGGGAAGATAGCAGACGTATCACCATCCTCTGCTCTTGCAGCTTTCCTTCCATATTGCACCGTTGCTGTCGATGGATGCGAACCAACATTCACATTAGAGGACAATGCACCTGTGTTGGCCTGGTCGGTATTCATTTCAAATCCCTGGACCACTGGCTGGTAAGGGATCGTGTTCGTTTCTTGGGAAATTTGCAATCTCGGCCCTATCTTGGCTGATCTGCCTGACAAATCGGCAATACTGCTCCTCACCTTAACCGCATATTCTCCAACAGGCGTGTGACATTGCCTAGCAGTAGCATGGCAAGATAGCTCAATGTATTCTTCATGTTCACAGCTGTCTGGTGGGATATAACGTAGGGAGTTTGTACAACATGCTTGCATACTATTGTCTGATGTGCTTTCCATACACTGAATAAAAAGTTCACCATTTTCTTGATCCACTGGCATTCCACTGGCACCAACATCTGCCAGCTCAGTTTTTGGTGTCAGGGCCAGCATGCAGGGAGATAGAACAGGTGTGCTACCATCAATCAAATCTAAACTAGAATTTTTCACATCTCTGACATTTGACTCTTGTGGGGCATCTTTCCTTTCAAGACTGACAAACACTTCAGGATCACCAGCTTCGTTTCCCACGATTTCGAGAATGCTCGGAGAAGCAGTTATGTAAGTGTCATTCCCACTAACAATGTGCGCTGTGTCATCTGCTACAAGTGGCGCACAATGACCAGTGCTATCTTGTTCAGGTGGCGGCAGTGTGCTTAGTACTTTTACTCGCTGCTGTCCTTGACCCGACGTTCCCCTGCTCATGCTATTCGGTACCTGAAAACCTTGGGATTCTGAAGTTAACCTAACACCTAACAAATCTAGTGTGGCTCCTACATGGCTTTGGTGTTTAGTAGAACCACTGAGCATGGGACTTTTAGCTGCACGTGGTTGGGAGGAAATTATATTCAATTCTACATTTGTAGTGGCGTCATTAGGAACTAACCGCTTCTCAATTGTTCCAGTCACATTTTTATTTTTACTACACTGATGACAGCCAGCTTCAGTATTTTCTGTGTTCGACGCCATTTCTAGATGCGGGTATATTGTGGGTGCATTTTCCATAGCTCTCACTTTCTTTCTCGTACTCATTGATTCATCAGTTCGTTTTGAAATTGATGATTTGTCCTCAGCACACTTTGTGCGAATCAATTCATGAAACTCACACTTTGGGAGTTTGAAATTAATTTCCTGCGTCAAGTCCTGTCGGGAAAGGTTTGGATGAAAAAAGAAGGCAATTTGTGCCTCTGGGGAGAGTCTACCACAGCCAGTAATGAAGCTCCCACGTTGTTGGCTGTTCTTTACCTCTGTAATCCTTGGTGATCGTCTGAGGGAAGTGACAGGAATGTCTGATATCTTCCTACCTCGCCTTTTCTGCCGACTTGTGGGTATGAATTTGACATGCAAATCACTACTTCCATGCTGTGAATAATGTGCTGCCGCATCCACACCGCTAAGTGGCATGTTGCTCACTTCTACTGATTGATTTTCATCACAAAGCTCTGCAGTGTTATCACTAAATGAATTATAAATAATACGTAAGTCATCACCTGCAGGGTTGAGACCACATGTTAGATTGTCGTTGCAAGGAATTTCGCTTGTCATCTTTACTTTTTTCTCACTACTGGACTGTTCATTACCGTTACTGTGGCAGACTGTTAACTTTGTGCATGGGAATTCTAACCTGGTGCTGTTCATGAGCGTGTCGGGTATATTTTCTATATCACTAACATTGTACTCAAATATTTTGTTAACAACAGTAAGTGGAAGTAATCTGTTAGAGGTAGTATCATCCAATAAAACTTGGCAATCACACGCATCTTTCTCAGAGTCAGCAATTCGTTGCTCAGAAGCCATGCTTTTAGCTTCTATGCTGTTATGCAAAGTATTTTTACAAACCCTTTTGTCAAGAGTCACACGTTGCACTTTTGAAGGAGGCTCCACACAAATCTCCTCCTGGGGATCCATTGGGCAGCTTTGACAGGGTAATTCTTGTGAGGAGATGGGTACAGGTGTGCTATGGCAGTGAACATTTCCCACAGTATGCACTCTCGCCTCCAGGTTAAAGGAAACCCTGGGCTTCTTCTTTGCATGTCTCTGACCATTCACCTCACATGGTAAAGCCAGGTTTGCACTCTGTCTCTGTTCCAACAACTTTATTCTACGGTGCTCTCTTTTCCGCTTCTGGTTTTCATATTTCTGAAGATACATTACAATTACAAAGTGAGTAAGGTTAGTAGGTGAGTAGGTAGGTGAGTTATGCTCATATATTTTATTAGGATTATCTGACTTAGACATTGATTAATATTTACCACAAGATATTGCACATAATTATTCATACACCATGTAATGCTTGAAATGTAATATTTAATTAACTGGTAAATGCAGTTCTAACATGCATTAGATATGCATTGTTGTAGTTGCTTATCTGTCATATTGGAAACACATTAACATAATTTACCTGTAGCTTTCTTTGTTTTTTTGCCAAAACCTTTTTCATTTTGGTCAATGCCTCAAGCACTGAAGTACCCTGGAAAATCAAAGAAAAATAAGTTACATTATTAGCATAACAAGTGTCGCAGTGCAACAGTGCTCATCTGATGGCTGCTGCTCTGCTGATAAACTCTAAATCGCAGTCGTGCGTAACAACATCTACGGTATTTTAGTTCCAAATAAGTTCACATATGACCAGAACCATGAGAAGTCGAGGGGGTATCAAGAATGTTGTAGAATTGGGGCACCATAAATTCACAGGTATATTCGAGTGTATAAGTTTTTGCTTGGACGCAACATGCAGCAGGGGAAATACCAATCAACTACTCTTCGCACACAGGTGGAAAGTAAATTTCATAGTCCTAGGCCTATAAAAATGTCATAGGCCATAAAAACGGTAGGTCACCCATGCAACAAAAGGAATTAAATATTGTGATTAACTTAATCATGATTAAAGTTAATTACGCTTCGTGAAACAGTCACTTCAATTTAAGTATGGGAAGTTATTCATGATTAGTGGTTTAATCATGATTAAATACTTAAAGGAACAGTAGCCTCTAGGTTCTAGGGTTATTTTCAGCTAATTTAGGTTATAATTGCGCTACATAAAAAGTTTCATGGTTCAATCACCATTATAAATATTTTTTTTAAATGTTTTAAAACTAACGACTACAGTTTGATTACAACGACGGTGGCGCCACTCAAAGCGCACGATCTGAGAAGTTGCGCAAAACCACTTTCCAGCCAAGGGCTACAGACCGAGGGTATTTCTTATTTATTCATTTAAAAGCAAAAGGATTGTAATATCTTATAAACGACATATAGTTTCAGTCATAATATGGATAAATTTGCCCTAAAATGAATATCGTTCGGTTAAATAGCATTTAGGTATAAATATAATTGCATTTTGGTGCATATAATGCCTTCTGTGTCATTTTACCTGCAAATAAAAATGCAAATACGCAACTTTTTCAGGGTGGCAGCACGGTCGCGGGTGTCATGGCGCCGTTCAAATTTCGTAGCGTTGATGTGTAAATAATTAATTAAGTATTCTGGTGACAAATACTGTGTGGTATAGACGATTTGTTATACAGTAAGTACAGTTGTATGCAGTAAAATCCTAGAGGCTACTATCACTTTAAGTATGCTTCGTGAAACCGGCCCCTGGATAGTAGTGTTAGGAATCGCTCCAAAAACGGAGCTCGATTAATCGTCCCTTTGAACGAGCGAGTAACCGAAATGTAAACGGCTCTGGGGCCGCGTATAGCACGATAGCATGCGTATGCTATATATAGTACGCGATCGATCGCGTACATCAAAGCGGCCGCCGCGCCATACGCCTTCGGCTCCGTTTATGAAGTAGGCCCGCCAGGCTCTATACGACTGTTTCACGTTGTAGGAAACGTAGGTACGAACTGTTTCACTTCTCGCCAACGAAGTTTATAAATATTTTGGAACTCTCTTTAGGTAAATAAAATGACAAGAGTCGGATATTTGAATATGTATGATCGGCAGGCGGTATCTTTGAATTTTATTTGTTCTTGAAACCCTCTAAAAGTGACCGCAGTCGCACATTTTATTACTCCGAAATGTGAAGTCGGGCGGGTGACCCGAACCAAAGGTAATTTTTTGGTCGGCCTAACATAAGTAGACCAATAATTAAAACAGTACATAACAATTTTAAAACATGCATACTATATACAGGCATTCGAGTACACGAATAAATTATAAGTATAATACATGGATATTTAAAATTTATAGCAAACAGTTACAGATGTCAGATATGTTAATTGTTACCAAATTTGGGTGACAACAAATGAGCTAAAAATATTATAAAATTATAATATGATAAAACACTCTATATTATATATATAATATATACCCTTACTATATTATATTTATATATATTAAAGGGAGAGTTTACTCTAGGTTCTAGGGTTATTTTCAGCTAATTTAGGCTCGTATAATTACGCTACATAAAAAGTTTTCATTGTTTAATCACATTAGAAAATATTTTTTTTAAATGTTTTAAAACTAACGACTCACATGTTTGTTACCAACGCGGTGGCCCACAAGCTATGCTCACGAATCTGATGAAGTTGCGCCAAACAACCACTTTCCAGCGCAACGGTACAGACCTGAGTGGTGTGTTTCTTATTTACTTTTCATTGTAAAAGCAAACAAAGGATTGTAATATCTTCGATAAACAGCACTTATAGTTTCAGTTTATAATATAGATAAATGTTTGCCCTTAAAATTGAATATCTTCGGTTTAATAGCATTGTAAGGTATAAAATTATAATTTGCCACTTTTGTGATTAGCCCCGGTCTGATATACGCTCCCAAAAATAAATTGTCAAATATGCACTTTTTCGGGCGTGCCAGCACTGGTTGCGGCGGTGTCATGGACCGCCGTTCAAATTGTTCTGTAGCCGTTGAATGCTGTAATGTAATCTATAACAATGTAAATTAGCGATATCTGGCTTAAAAATACGTGTGTGCGTATAGACGACTTGTGTTATACAGTATAGTACAGTTGCTATGGCAGTTAAAATGCTAGACCCCTTTTATTTATTATAATTAAAATATTATATAAAACTGAGTGTAAGCAAAGCCAGGTCTAGCTCTAGTACTCATACGCCCACGTAAGTTGCGCTGGGCATAGAACCAGCCCATATTAGGGTGATGCGCCTCAGCGAGCCAACTTATGTCTGCCGCCTAATTCGCAGGCTATTAAAACGTCTGTGGTACGACACATTATGCCTTTCTTTATCTGAAGCGTGAATTCTGTCTTAAGTCTATAACCGCCCTACTAAACATATTTTAAGCCGCTTAAACTAATCTGTTGCAATAGGTATACGTGCGGTATTTGCTTTGTGAACGAACATTCGCATTTGGCGACTTTAAACGGCGCCATTTCTGCGCTGGCGCTGCAGCAAGCGCCAGTCAGCTGCGATACTTATGTATTTCGGCACGTGGAGACTAGTGGGCGCGGTTGGGTAGCTTCAATGGTTTGCTGCGACAAAAACATTCATGTTGTTGCTCAACAGTAACAAATTTATAGAGGATCAAAAAAGATTGTAATATTAATTTTGTCATGAAAGATGAACAAATTACTATTATTAATATTAATTTGTTACTTGACAACAACAATGTTTTTGTCCAATGAAAAGGCCCATGCCCCCCTGACCTCTGTTTGACCTGCGCCTCTCGTTTAGCTATTTCTGCACTAACTATATATATAGGGTTTAGGGTTAGGGTTAGTCAGAAATAGCTAAACGAGCCAGGTCAAACAGAGGTCAGGGGGACATAGACCCTACGAGTCGAAGTGAGCTATTAAGTGAAGTGAGTGTTTCAACTGTTTTTTCAGATAGGTTTACCGTTTGGTAGAAATCGTGATTTATAATGCACAAATAAATTATACGTCATGGTTACTCGTAATAATCTTACTTCGGTTTCACTGCTGTTCATTGTTATGTTATTTGGCGATTGGCGTTATGTCGTCGTTGCGAAGTAAAAGTTTAATTATGATATATCACCGCTCGAATGATAAACAACAAGCGCTTAAACTTCCCACCACGGGCCACCAGACCTACTGATGAAATATTGACTCAAATCTCAAATGTGATCTTTTCAAATCCAGTTTCATGGTGACAATTTTAGTTAAAACCTATTTAGATATTATATTATTTAAACATGCAGATAAAGAAAGCAGGGTGCATTTATATATTTTTTTAAATAAAATTACACGTAAACTATCATGGCACATCTTTCCAGCGAGGTTGTGGAAAAAGCTAGACTTGCACTGTGTCTATATATGGTCTATATACTACGTAAGAATGGCTTACTAGTTTATCCACCAGGCACCACGGGCCCCGTCTAAGCAAAAACAGCTGACCATAATGATATTATATGTGGATAATTTAATAATATAACAATGTATTGTATATTCACATATATATATTATATATATATATATATATATATATATATTAGCTCAGGTTCAAGCTATCTCGCTAACCGTAGCTAGAAGTTTTTTGACCTAATTTTGGACCGATAATGAAAACAGCGCAAAGCAGTCGCTGAATCGGTGGCAATCCCGCCCCAATCCCGTGGTCCTATTTTAGCTGGAGCTGACCTTGGAGCTGACCAATCCGCGACACTCCTGACAGCTCATTGGTCTGCATATTTTTGGTCTGCGCCTGTGTTATTTAGGTTGTTGTGGTGGAGCTCAACCGCGCTAACTTATTTTAGTTATATACAGCGATCTTGGTTACAGTGTCGTTGGAAAACTTGGCTCAGTACTTGCGTAGAGGTAAAGATGTATCATTTACGAGTTTATCGTTGCGAGACAACAATTCGCTGCACTGTGCAGTATCTTGATTTTTAGCATGCGTGCTTCCCGCAAACTGAAACTGGCAGTGACAGTCAATGCGACATATAGCCTAGGGTCCGCAAATGCAGACGTTATAACCTTTTAATCTGAGGGTGCGGGTTTATTACTGGGTCTGCGTCGGCTCGGACTAAGCCTAAATACAGTATACAAGTAGGTATCTCGCGCAGTGCACATGTCATGGGCACGCACACATTTTGTGAAATGGTTTACATTCACTAAAACTTACACGACTATGTTGTAGTACAGTTAGACCGTATATATGCATTACGATAAACGGTTTACGATAGCAACTAGTACTAGTAAGTAGTACCGTCGGCACTAGTAGTAGTAGTACTACTACTAGCAACTACTGTACAGCATTTTAAACGGCAAAAATAACGTTTCGTTAATTGTTAATCACATCACCAAATTGTCCACGGCTATAGGGCACGTTTGTTTGGGACGAATCCGTCGGATCGCGATCATGTGATCCTGATCCGCCCAAACTCAATCAAATAATCAAATAAGGTATCTTCTAAATCCATCGCAGGCCTTCCACATGCGTCTAAACAGAGGAATTGCTCCGACCTGTGATTGGATAAAAATAGAATTCGTGACGTTTCGTTTTCATTTTGCATAGGTGCCTACCCCGCCTCATACGCCGGTAGGAATGTGTACTAACTATCATATGGCACGAACGATTTGAGTTACATTTCTATAAATTCTAGCTATTATAGACACATGTCTTAGCTATGATCCCTGTGAGTGTTGAGTTTATTGAAGGGTGATTAGCTTAATTAATTAGCAAATATGTACGCGCGTGGTATCGCTCATACTCAAGTCATAGGCTAAATGCCAAAATGAAAACGAAACGTCACGAATTCTATTTTTATCCTCCAATCACAAGTTGGAGCAATTCCTCTGTTTAGACACATGTGACCTTTCACTGGACGCCATGTTGACAAACAACAAGCAGTGATTGGCAGAGGCGCGGGCTGCCATATTGGATCCCCTTCGAATCCACCTCGCTAGCAGGGTCCGGTTTGGTGGATCAAGATCCGTGGATCCGACCAAACAAACAGTCAGATCCCCGGATCCAGTACGTGGATCGAGATCCGTAGATCCGACCAAACAAACATGCCCTTAGAGGAAAGGCTAAACGAACACTGATAGAGTGTACTTGATGCATCACTGATAGTGATACTGATGCTGAGAGGGTCTATGTCCCCCGGGGTACTGCCGGAGCGTACCCTGGGTACGGTCCGGTATACCGGAACGTACCCTGGTACTATCTAATATGCCGGACCGTACCTCGCCTACTCCTCTAACGAGTCTAGGGAGTCGCCTACGCCTACTCCCTAACCCTAACCCTAACCCTAATCCTAACCCTAACCCTAACCCTAATCCTAACTCTAACCATATCAAATAGTGACCAGGGTACGTTTCGGTATACCGGACCGTACCCAGGGTAAATTCCGGCAGTACCCTGGGGGACATAGACCCTATGAGCGATACTGATACTATCAGTATTGCAGTATTGGCATTGCATGGTACTGTCACTAGCACACACATCAACTCGTGGCACCCACTTTCATTTCCAACATTTCCCAACCCCAGCATTTTCTGGGAATGCATCACCTGTGTTTAGAAAGGAATTACTAAATACTTGTGTTTAGAGATGGTATATATGCAAGTTTTTCATTGCTAAATCTATTTTAGTGAAATTGTTGAAGTAATAGCATGCGAATGATGATAAAAGGAGACGAATGCTTTTGAAAGTCTGTTGCGATAACTCCAATGACATTCAGTAATACTGAGTGGTACTGTTGGTGTTTATACAGTCGTTGTTAGAACCTGGTGAGGTTTCTGTAGTGCTTTCAGTACAAGACTCAAGAGCCATTTTATTGTGTGCTGACAAAATTATTTTGACACAAGTGGCTTTAGGTTTGCTGCGTTGAGTACTAGCCTAAGGTTACCTTATTGAGGTATAGCAGATAGTCTATAGATTTCTGCTCTTTTGACTGCACCCAGCCAAGTTTGTAGAATGGTAAAACCATGCATGCATGTTTCCTACTGCCTGTCTGCACATCCATCCATTAGTCAATAATAGCAGCACACGGGTTAGGGTTAACTCGTTAGGCAACGTTAGGCTTTACTCATGGCACAAGTATTCTGCAGGTAGTGGGCAACCCCAAATAACAGCATGACGTGCAAATTGTAGGTCAGGTGAAGGTTGGAGTTGACGCCTATGTGTGTTGCGGGTTAATGGGACTGGGGTTAATGCAGCATATATTTGCAGCACATATAATGACAATGGTCTAGGCTGCCTCCCCTGTTTTCAATGTGTGGAATGATAGCAGGAGGATACGTGTTCAATGGGGAAATCAAGCTCAAGGGTCAAAAGACAGCTAGGTTGAATTTGCAGATATTTAGAGGTAGTGGTTATAATGATTCGTATTGACCTTACCCTGTGTAACATGTATACGTTGGCTAGTGTTTTGAACAGCCTGCACCATTCTCTCCTCCTCTATACCCATTTGCTTTTTTTATATTCCAACCTCTACCTACTCTACTCTCTCTCCCTCCTCTACCGTCTCGCCCTCTATTTATTATGACACATTTACCTTCTCTACCTCCACTACCTGCTTCTCCTGCCATTTGACCTCTTGAGGCTCTTCTACCTTCTGTGTCTTCTTCATTTGCTACTCTGCTCTTTCTCTCTTTAACCACTGACCTTCTCCATTTTCTTTATCTCCTCTACCTAATGTACTTTCTCCCCCTCTTCCACGTACTCCATCACCTCAAACTGCAACAGTGGTGTATGCTGGTGTCTTAAACCCAAGTTGATCTCTGAATGATTGAGTATTTCGTTTAGAAGTTAAGTTCTGTTCATTCTTTTGAATAATTTTACAAGGACGAATATATATATATATATATGTTTTTGTTCCTAATTCACTTATCGTAACCTAAAACTTCATGAGGCGGGAGATGACTGTAATTGGTTACAATTCACATTCGCATTACTTATTGTGGCTGTGATAAATATTCATACTGGCAAATGAGAGGAGTATCTAGAGCAATCAGGAGTGTAGCTAACCCATTTTGCTGGGGCGGGGGCGGGGGCAAAGCCACGTGTGTGGTGTGGCCTATTAACCAAGTAATCAGAAGTACATGATAGGGAATTAATTCCCTATTATCTACTTCTGAAGTAATGTATCTACGTTTCGTTGGGGGGACTGCCCGACTGGCCAGATTGCGATATATAGAAAGCAGGGTCATGTTAAGGAGGTGAGAACCTCCAGCTGATATTGAGTTTTGCCGTGGTGACAACCGTGGTCCCACTCTGAATGGTAGTTCTCATGCCAAGTTGAAATCTATCGGGAGGTCATGAGGAGCTACATGACGTCTTAACTCGTACAGTTAAAGCAGGTGCACGTGATAGACCAAAGTTTTAATGTAGCTATTAAACGTGAGAGGGTCGAGTTTCACCCTGCAAAGACAAAAGTCATCACATGCTTTCTGCTTAAAATTTTGGTTAAAGTCAATTCATGTGGTGGAGAGTCTATACTAGATTTTTCATTTCAGCAAAAAGGCCTATATACATTTGGGTACGCAAGACATGCCCCATGCCCCCTGACTTGTTATATATATATATATATATATATATATAAGTGAAACCCGTATTTTACGCGCCCCGATTTAACGTGAATTCATGTATAACGCAACGAGTCGTTGGACCCCCTTTTTTGCTCATATATAGCCACGTATATATATAACCAACGATTTAGTGCGACCCCGCTTTGTTCGCGATGACATTTTATGGATCCCAACCATCGCGTTATAACGGGGCTACACTGATATATACACGCGTATAGATCAATGATGCAGTGACGCCTTTTGTTTCAAGCATGCACTGCTTTTTGTGTCTGCTAACATTAGTATCAAAGTCAGATGACTTACATACTGTAGGCCATTTAGCTTAGTTAAGTTTAGTATATTTATGGGGTAGAAAGCCTACTGGCTATTTCATACCCTCGCATGGCAGATACAAGATCTCTCTTATGTCCCCTGACTTGCTATCCTGTGTACTCCTTCTGTTTGAAAACAGGGAAACTGGTGAATCTATTGATGTATCCCTGTGCTCTTAAACTGATCTGCTTAGGTCTGTGTGCTTACATGCATGCCGAGAAATAAACATATCACAGCACCAAGTGCCAGTCTCAATTAGGGTTTAGTGTATGCTCTTTTCTCTGACTGTATAGGGTGCATGTGAGAGGAGCTGTAGGGTGTATTCATGCACAGCAGTGGCCCTGACCTGAGTCAAAGCTGAACATGCCTCGCAAATATCAGTTGATGACATTCCAAGCTTTTCCAAGCAGGAAATTAGTCCATGTGCTTGTGGCAACTGCTTGCATGGTGTAGAATATTTTGATTCTCGGATCGGTTGGCTGGTACTGCTTGAAATTTCCATTGTAGTGTATTGTTTACTCAGACGTAATGCTATATATCCTTGCTGTCATTAGAAATCCTCAATATATATATATGTAGATACTCTTATTTGAAAGTTAATTTGATAGAGCTATGAGTTAGAACCGTTAGCTAAATTTTTACTCATTATATAGTAACTCTCAAGTGAAAAACCAGCGATACCTTTCATAAATGCAATTAGGTGTGATGTAGTCACTCCCTACACTGTTATTGACAGTTTACTCGACTTGAGGCCATAATAAAAATATTGTTTGTTTGCCCTCACCTGACCGACCCGCCAAAAAGGAGCCGACTCAAAAATATTTATGGATCTTTCCCATTTTTAGCTGGCCTTGACATCGTCAAGATGAGCTAGTGCCATGGGGCCCGGTGTTGTCCGTCGTACATCCGTCCGTCCGTCCGTCAACATTTGGCTATGGTCAACGATAAATCAAGAACCGTTTGAGTCGGTT